AGCAGGGAGGAATGGGTCATCCATTCATTTATACATTCACTCATTTTTTTAAGGAGGGCTTCCTTAGGAAACCACCGCAGCTCATCTCTAGAGCATGGGATGAAGGCTTTTAATCAATGAAGATTTCAGAAGAAGACAACATTCCCATTTAACCGATATTTTCATAAACTTTTCAGGGTCTCAGATAAATGACTTGGCTGTGGCACACAGCTAACTTGGTAATTGTGGTGTTCTTTCCACTGCACCAGGCCAGCCCTAGAGGAATAACCTTCCTTCTCCACTCCCAGCTTAAATAAAAACAACCCCAACAAGCAGGCTTTCTAGAAGTCCTTTTGGGGTACATGTTGGGGTTTCCTTTGGATTTGGGGTTACAGAATGATTAGCTGCCTAACCCAGCAATGGATGGATGACTGGATGGATGGATGGATGGGTGGGTGGGTGGGTGGATGGATGGGTGGATGAGTGAGTGCGTTCATGGATGGGTGGATGGTAGGCAGATCTGAAGGGTTGGTAACCAGGGGATTCCCACTGGAAGGATGACTCCAGGGTTCCCAGAGAGGGGAGAAGCCTAGGCTGGCCTTTTGTGGGAGAGGCTGCCAGGAAAGGAAGAAAGGGGACCCAAGGGAAGGTGCCCCCCAGGCAGACAGGGTGAGCCCTGGCTCAGACTCACGGCACATTTGAGTTAAGACAAACAAGTATGAAATATTTCTTATGTGCAAGTCATGATGCCAGGAAATAGGGATAGAAACTGGAGAAATGACAGGGTCCCCCTTCCCATGAGAATCTGGAAAGAACATTAGAACAGAGTAGCAGAGATCAGGGAGAACTTAGGGTTTATCTAGACAACTGAACTCTCCTCTCCCCACAATGGGTGAGGAAATGAGACCTAGAAGGAGGCAGGGCCTGGGCCAAGGACACAGACAGATTCAAGACATGAACTGAGATCTTACCTCTAAATTCAGTCCTTTTTATAATACACTAGAACATCAGAGCTTGGAACAGGGAATATCAGAGCTGGGAATCAATGTGGATCAACTGTTCCCACCATCTCACTTTATAAAGGAAGAAATTGAGGATCCAGTAGGGGAAATGACTTGCCTAAGGTCCTACAGTGAAGCAAAAGCAGAACAAAGACAAAAACTCCGCTCTACTCTCCCCTCCACCATCTGCCTCCTGACAGGTTTGCATGTGTCTGCTTGAGTACATATTGATGTATTTTCTTTGAGTGTGGGTTTGAATTCACCCAGATGGAGTGGGGGTGGCCCTCCTCACTGGGAGTCTTCAATCTGAGGCTGGCTGCCCATTTTTCCGGCATGTTGTAAAGAGATCCTTGGTCCAATCCCAGATGGCTGAATGCCTTTAAGGTCCCTTCCAGCTCGGAGATTCTAATTTTGTATGTGTGTGTGTGTGTGTGTGTGTGTGTGTATATATATATATATATATGTTGTGTGCGTGTATGTTGTGGGCATGTGGGCATGGTCTGGATATGTGCTGAATCAACATGTTTCCCAAAGTCCTTCCCTTCGTGACACCCCCCCCATCCTCTACCCATACTCTTCTCCCTGAGCTTGGAGTCCTTGCTTGGACCCTGGCCCATATAGCTCAGTCTGGCCTAGGACTCCATGCCCAGAGTCCTCAGGGAGCCAGGCCATTCGAGAAGCAGGCTTTCCCCTATCCCATCCTGGAGTCACTAAGTTGCTCTATAAATTGGGTGAGCTGACCCTCTTGGGCAACCATGATCATCATCATCACCACTAACATCTCCATAGCACTTTACATGTGTTACCTCCTTTGACTCTTCCAGTCAGCCTTGCTGTAAACCAGGCACTGTTTGGATTTCTTTCACAGAGCAGAGACGAAGCTCAGTGACTAGCCAGGGTCACAGAGCTAGTGAGTATCTGAGGCTGACTTCTGTCTTCCTAAAGTCTGAGCTCCACTGGCCCAGCCACCTTGGAGAGTGGCCTTGGGCTCTGGAAGAAGTCTGCATAAAGGTGGTGTTCTTAGGGCTATTTCTGGCTAGAGCTCCCCATTCCTCCAACTCCCCCCTCCATTTCTATCATTCACACACACACACACAAACACACACACACACACACATACACACACACACTTACACATAGGAGCAAGACTGCCAGGGGATCCTCTACAGTCAGTTCTCTCTCACCTTTTCCACCCCTCATGTCTCCTCTTTCTGTGTCTCATCTCTCTTCCCTTTCTCTGTGTTTCTCTCGCCTGTCTGCCTCACTCTTTCCCCCCCTTTTTCTGACTATTTTGTTTATTTCTCTTTCTGCTCTTCCTTCCCCTTCTGTCTGTCTCTGCCTGTCTGTCTTCCTTTTTGCCTATATCCATCTCTCTGACATCTCATTATTCTCTGCACCAGGGAAATGCTGACTGAGGAGAGGATAGATAAGGAGTTCCTCAGTACTGGAAGCCTGTCATAGGTGGCAGGTAAGGGTTGGATCAGGTGCCTTCCAAGGTCCTTAGAGCTCAGGTAGAGATGCTGGGATTCCAAGATTCCTCCTGGCCTGCAGTCTGCCACCTCTCTCTCTTTCCCCATCCCCACTCCTCTGAATTCCCTGATGCAGACCTTCCCTAAGGAGTGCATTCTCTTTGAGGATGCCTTAGCAGTGTCCCCGCAAGGCCTCCAACTCCAACTCCCCCTCTCTCCATCCCTGGAAGCCAGAAGAAGCTCCCATCATCCTGTGTGGCTAGAATCTAGAGACTCAGAGAGATTTCTTGTTACATGTCAAAGAAAAGGCAGAGCCGAGGTGGTCTTGGTGTCCCAGCTTCCCACCCCACTGTCAGGTGAGGCAGGGTTCTGTGCTCCTCTGAGGTCAGAAGCCTTGGAGATTGAGACCTAGAGATCTCAGTTGGCAGGTTCTTAGAAGCCTTAGAAGCTCCAGCGCTAGCCCCCTGGGGTTCTTGGATAAGGAGGCCTGTCCTGGCAAACTCTGCCCCCACCTACCCACCCTGCTTCTTCCAGTATTTTTCAGCCGTCCAGGCTGGCTCAGCCATAGGTGGACAGAGACCACAGGAACCAAGGACACTCAGACATAGAGACAGACAGACTCCCCTAGGGGAGAATCCTCCCACACAGGATTCTCCAGGACACTCTTCTGGTCTTAGGAGTCTCTAGGGAATCATCTCTGGGTGCCCACTCTCATTTGCCCTTGAATGGGAGACCTCCCCAGGAGCAGTGGTCCCAGGCCTCTCCATCCCTCAGGGCCCCTCAAAGTCCAGCCCTGCCCCAGGGGCTTCCCTTAGCAGCTAAATCTTACCCGAGGTTACACAGGCACTTTGTCTCCTGTTTCCTCTCTCTGTCCATCTCTTATTCTCTCTTCACTCTCTTCCTGCCTCTCTTTCCCCTCATCTGTTCCTTTTTCTTTTCTCCTCTCTTCCTTCCCACTTCTTGGGGTTCTAGGGAACTGTGGTTTACTGACAAGCACAGAGAGCGGGTATCTGATCTCAGCCCCTACCCCCACCCCCTACCCAGGAGAGTGCCTTACCCCCTCGGCTTCGTTCAACCAGACTGCTGCTATCCTCTTCTCTGCCTCTCTCACCTTCTGGGCTTTTCTGCCCATCTCTTCTTCTGCTTTGCCCTCTCTCCTCGCTCCCTCCCCCTGCTTCTCTTTTTCTCAGTATCTCTTTCTTTTGGTCTGTTTCCTTCCCTCTGGGTCTTGAGACCTCCGTGCGTGGGCCTCTCTCTCTTTCTCCCTCTCTGCACCCCCTCCCCCTCCAACAACGAGGCCTCGGTGAGGCCGAATCTGGCGAAAAGGAGCTCGCAGCCGTTCAACAGGTAAGGACTCGGCTGGGCTCAGGAATGTGGAAATACGACTCAGCGGCGTAGCCTAGTGCAACGAGCAATATTAATCAGGACGCCCGCCCGGGGAAGGGAGAGGTGGAGAGAGGCACACAAACTCCGAGCCTGAGCCCAGCACCAGGAGAGATCCGCAGGGACAAAGCAAGGCGCCCAGGGCCCACAGAGGCCATCCCAGGGACCAGAGGCAGAGATACAGTGGGAGGGGTCGGAGAGCGCGCGGGGGATCCAGGCGTCCCGGCTGAGGGGACCCCGCCTGAGGAGGTGGCCCGCGCGCCTCTCATCCCCAAGCCAGACCGACGAGTTGTCAAGGTGATTTCAACACGGCTGAATGATGGATAGAGACGCGGATGGTGTCTAGGCCTGCAGCACCTTACACACAATCATAATCGCACTCGCACGGCCCCATGTAATAAGCACAGCTCCTCCTCCCTACCCTCTTTGGGAGCCCTCTTCTCTTGATCGGTCTGTGGGTAGGTCTCTAGGGCTCAGATTCTGCCTCTCACTCCACGATGAAAGTGCCCTCTGTTCCGCGGCAGACCCCAGGCCCGGCTGCGGCCGCCGCCACGGTGGAACGACTCTGGTTCCCACTTGGATTAGAAAGAGAGGATCTGACACCGCCGCCCCCTACCTAGTTCTAAACAGGCAGACTCAGCGGAGCGAACCCACCTTGGCAGCCTCCCGGGAGCGATCAGCCGGCCTGGACCAGCTCCCGAATGCGGGGCTACCCCTGGCTCGGTCCAGGAGTGCCTTCTCTTCGTTCTCGAGATTCACCCAGGGTGAGGGACACCTAATTCTGCCGGTAGGGAAATGTACCAGAGAACCCGGCCAGACGCAGAGTGTGTGGTGTGGGGGATGCGGCGAGTACCGTCTCTAAGGCGGCGACGTTCAATCCCCAGGGCGGCGCGTTCCATCCTGGGGCCCGAGTTCCATCCCTGGGCCCCGCGTTCCACCCCTGGGCCACGCGTTCCATCCCTGGGCCCGTGTTCTATCCCGCTGTCGGCGCGTTCCATCCCGGACCAACCCGTTCTATCCCCTGGCCCGCGCGTTCTCTTTGGCCACCAGCGAGAGTTTTCTCTCGGGATGGTGCCCCATACCCAGAGCGTTCCACAAGAGAACCTCCCGAGACTCCCCCCCCCCGCGCCATCGCCCGCTCGCCCGGCCCCCGGCCCAGATCACTCACCCCAGCTTCACGTAGAGGACGCCAAAGCAGAGAAACACGTAGAAAATCCACTTGCGAAAGTTTCTGTGCATGATCCAGGAAGATAGACTGAGCCATAAACAGCTGGGGCGGGGGAGGGAGGCCGGGCTGGGGCGGGGGCGGGGGGGAGCGCCCCGAGGTGCGGAGCGAGGTTCGGGCTTGGGCTAGGCAGCGGCGGCCCGGAGCCCAGCTCTCAGAAACAGGACAGCAACCGTGGCGGCAATGGGGACCTGCACAGGCGGGCGCTCGGCGCGCCCTACCACCATGGTGAGCCTGCCCGCGGCATCCTGAGCCCAGTCCGCCCCGGCTACGGAGCAGTCAACTGGCCCGGAGGCGGGGCGGGGGCGAGGGCGTCTCCCTGGCAGGAGGGGAGGGGGCCCAGGATAATTTGCCCAACTGGCCTCAAAGCAGAACCCCAACCCGGGCAGTGGGAACAGCCCGCGGGGGAGGTTAGGAGGGGGAGCGAGAACCGGCTCCGAGCCCCCGAGGAAGCGCCTGGAGTTGGGGGTGGGGAGAGGGACAGGAATGGGGACTGGGACGGGGACAGGGACTCGGACAGAGACCGGCACCGGTGGCGGCGCGCAGCTCAGGGCCGCGACTGCGGCTCCTCAGCGCCCTGGAGTCCCGGCCCCAGTCTCTCTCCCTCCCATGTGCCTTTACTTGTCTGCCGGCCCGCCCGCCCGCCTTCCTGCTGCCCAAGGGGAGAGCGAGCAAGCGAGAGAGGGAGGGAGGGAATGAGGGAGGGAGGGAGGGAGGGAGGGAGCGCACTCTCTTTGGGGAGGAGCTGCCTGCCGAGGTCTGCAGCCGCAGGTAGAAGCAGGCTCTCTATCTCTCCCTGTCTCCGTCTCTCTGTCTCTGTGTATGTCTCTCTCTGTCTCTCACTCCCTCCTCTCTCCCCTCTCCGTTTCTTCCTTTTCTTTCCTAGTTTCCAAGATTCAACGTCTTAAACAATTCTCTCTAGGGGCTTCTGCTTGCCCCTGTGGCTGTGTGTGTCCCCTTCCTCGGCCTCAATCTGTCTCTGATGATGAGGGGCGCAGGATGGGGGCAGAGAGGGGAAAGGAGGCAGTTCTGGGTGGGAAAATAGGGTGTGAGGGAATGGGGGGAGCAGGAAGGAGGCGAGTGGAGGTAGAAGAAGAGGGAGGGAAGGAAGGGGGAGGGAGGGGGAGGACACCTGCGGAAGGGGCCCCACCTCCTTAGAGGCTGGAGGGGAGCCCAGGGCGGGCGGCCGGGCAGGCAGGCTGGGGGGTAGAAGGGGGGGTGGAGGGAGGACTTGGCAGCTGGAGAGGTTTCTCTGCTCGCTGGCTCCCGGGGGAAGGAGGATCCCCTCCCCCCCCCCCCCCCGCGTGCCCAGCCTCCTTCCTTCCCTCTCTCCCTTCCATCCCCACCCTCCCATCTCCCTCCTTATCAGGCCAAGCTCAGAACCACACCAACCAGTGAGGGAGGATGACGGCCTCGGCCGGCCAGCTCCACAGCTCTCCCTGGTCCCCCTGCCCAGGATCTAACTTTGGGGGTCTCTTTTCTGCTCCCCCACTTGGAACTTCGCCCACACCCTCAGGCCCAGCTCTCTTTGAGCTCCCCTGCCAGGGGGCCACATCTTCATGGGGCTGAGGTGGGGAGGGAATCGCTATTAGAGTAGTAGTGGTAACATTTATCAGGAACGTAGCAGCAATAGGTGGTGGCGGTGGTGGTGGTGGTTGCCCATTTTGCAAATGAGAAAACCGAGGCCCAGTGAAGGTAGTGACATGCCCAACGTTCTTAGGCTAGTAAGGATCCGAGCTAGATTAGAAGCCGGGTTTTCTGGATCTCTGTGCAGCGTTCTGTCCATCTCCTTCGGGGATGTATTCTTAACCTGGCTATTCCAGCAGTCCAGGACGTTGAGCCTCAATCTATATAATGATAACAATTACAAGGAGCATTTCTATATTGCTTTCAAGCTAGTAACACATTTCACACGTTGTCTCATCTGAGCCCCACAGCAAGGCTTCCATATTAGTATGAAGGCAACGTTGTCCCCATTTTATTGAGGAGGAAACTGTGACTACAGAGAGGCATGCTGTCCATGTGGTCACACAGCTGCTACCATCTGAGGCAGGACTCCTTCATTCACCCATCCATTCATCCACTAAGCATTTATTAATTCCTACTGCGTGCTGAGCACCGGGCTAGGGACTGGGGACAGACCAAAAAAAAGAAAAAAAGAAAAAAAGAAACTGTTCCTTTCTTCTGCGAACCTTCGTCCTCATTTGGACTCGAGTTGCCTGACTCCAAACCCAGCAAAGATTCCCTGTGCCATAGGGGAAAGTGGGCCCTGCAGCTGAAGACTGGCTTGCCTGGGGTACAGGGAATCCAACTGAGCAGATTTATAGTTCAAGGTTCCTTCCATATTGCAATAGATGCTTTCGTCTCCTGTGGGAGGGTCTCTCTGCCCCAGCCCCGCCCTTTCCACCCGCCCCCCCCAAAAAAAACCCTGAGAGATTAGGAGAATGGGAAAGCAGGCACTGAGGCACTCTCTCCAGCTCCACCCCCAGCCCCAGAGAGCCCTGGGCTCACAGAGGGGGGCCAATAAAGACAAATGGGGTATAGGAGGGCAATGCAATAGGGTTGAACTGAACTCACTTGAATGAGGCGGCTGCTTTGGATGGGACTGAATTGATTTGAAAAGCCCTTTGTCTTTGGGGAGGGACGGGGCTCAGAACCCCCGTAGAGAAGTTTCATCCTCAGCTGGGAAAGAGAGAGAGAGAGAGAGAGAGAGAGAGAGAGAGAGAGAGAGAGAGAGAGAGAGAGAGAGAGAGAGAGAGAGAGAGAGAGAGAGATCTGTTTCTGAGTCGATGTGTATGTCTGCCAGTGTGTGTGCGTGCCCAACAAGGGGGAAGAGTCTTCTCCCCCAGGATCCAGCTGACTGAGCCCTTTTTCCCCGACAATCCTCCCTGTACCTCCATCCTCCCCAACCACTTTCTCTCTGTAGGTTTGAGAACTGGAAGAAGCTCTGGCCCCACAAAGGAATCCCTCTCCCCCTCCCAGGGCCCACGCCCACCCCCAGCCAGCTCATGGCTGGAGCCGCCTGATCCCTCCTTAATCCTCTTAAATCTTCTGAGCCTTCCTCACCACCCCTCTTCCTCCCCGACCCCAAAGAATCACAGTAGAACATACCTGGAAAGGACTTCAGTTCACAAAACAGAGCCTGACAGTCTGGCAGGCCCTTAGACGTGAGGTTATTTCAGCAGAAAAAGACCTAAGAAAAGGCTATATCAGAGCTGGGAAAAGGCGGGGGGGGGGGGGGGGGGCTTAGATCCTAACTGAGAGAGGTCTTAGAACAGAGAGCATAGAATGTTGTGTGTGTGGGGGGGAACCTTAGAACAGAGAATGGTTGGGGGGGGAGAGATTCCTGAGCCATCCCCCTTCCCCTTTGACACACCACAGTTATAAGGAGAGGCATTTGGAATAAGAGAGCCAGATTTGATAGCTCGTCTCTGCCACAGCCCGCCTTAGGGAGTCTAGGTCCCTGTGGATCTCAATTTCCTCCTCTGTCATTTGAAGGGGCCGGACTGGCTGACCTCTGAGGTCCCTTCTAGCTCTGGCTGTGTTCCTGTGGGCTCCAGAGAAGGCCCGGGGTCTCTCCGAAGTCCCACAATGATAGATTATACTCAACGTCTCTCCTCTAGGAAGGACGCGAGGGCCCTAGAGCCCCTCACCATCTTCCCCCGCCCCATCCCCACCCGCCGACCCCGCTGTCCTCTCGGCCAGACCCATGCCCAGCTCCCTGCGTGGGGCTGCGGGCACGGGCTGCTGGTCTCAGAGAAGGGGGCCCCCTGTGCCCCTGTCAGATCCCTAAGGATTCCTCCACTGGGGATTGCTCTACTGTCCGCGCGTGAGGCAGCGGCACCCGAGCGGAGCGAAGCTGCGTTTCCCGCAGGAAGCAGACGTTGCCCCCCACTCACCCCAGCTGTGGCCCGCTGGAGCAACTGGCTGCGCAGGCCAACACCTCCCCCTGCAGGGCCGAGAGAGCCGTGATAGCTGAAAAGCCTGGAAAGTTGCCGCTGGCTGGCTGCGTCAGGCCCGTCCCCTCTTTTTACAGCGGAGGAAACTGAGGATGAGACTTGCACTAGGTCACCCAGTGCTGGAGCGGCTGAGCCGGGACCGGAAGCCAGGCCTTCCGAGTTTGACTCCCCGCGTAGGGCTTTCTGCACCCCAAGACATTCCGGTGCAGCTAACTCTCTTGTTACATAAAGGCTAAGTCTCCAGAGGCGATGGTACCCGGAGAAGCAGGATGGGACGGGGGCCTAGCTCCCTCCTGGGACCCCACGCCCAGCCCTGAGGGCTCGGAGTTAGAAATGCCTCTTCTCCGCTCCCAGCCAGCAACCCCTGGCAGCAACTTCGGGAATCCTCCTGGAGCCCTTTTCTGGGCTGCTGCCTCCGGGGCTGGGGGAGAGAGGGGTGAACGACGGTTGCTCAGAAAGCCAGGGACTCCTTCCTTCCTTCTTATGCCTCCCCTTCCTTGTGCTCCTCCACTCACATCTAGCCAATGGAATGATCCACCCGCAAGCATTGTGAACCGAGTCCTCAGGGCTGGGCCGGCCTTCCAGAGGGCGAGCTTCCTTGGCCCTGAGCACACCTCGCCTCGGTGCAATTGTACTTTAAATTTAGGTTGTTGTTTGTTGGTGGGAAGATGTGCCCCAGGGTGGGGGCCGGCAACATAACTAAGACTCCTGCTGCGACATGTGGTCGTCTCTGCCTGTTGGTTGTTAGGAGTGTCTGGAGCCAGTCACAGGCCTACCTGCCTTTCAGGACCAGGAAAACAGCAACAGCCGCTCACCTTTCTGGGGACCCTACTTGTCAGGGCCAATCTGGAGACTGATGGGGTGGAGGTGAGAGGGAGAAGAGAGGAGGAGAGGAGGGGGAGGAACAGGAGAGTGAGAGAGATATAGACATATGTATGTACATATACTTAAACCTAATCCTAACCTTAACCCTTCCTAACCTCCCTAAATACATGTATACCTATGTATGTATGCACACACACACCAAGTCATATGCCTTTCCCCTTCTTTCTTCTTCCTTCTCCTCTCCTCTTTCTTCACCTCCTCCCTCTGCCCACCCCACTTCAGAACTTTCCAGGTCCTTCTCCCTCCTTTTCTTCCCTTACCTTCTCTCTCTCTCTTCCTCTTCTAATCCACTCAATTGGATTCAACAAGCATTTCTCCAGCCTTCGAAAAGTGCTGTGCCCAGGGCTTAAGGGGACAAAAACAAAAACTACAGTTGATTCACCCCCCCCCCAAGGACTTCACATTCCACTGTGTAAGGGGGTTTAGTGAGAAACAGGAAGGACAGAGAAATAGAAAATGAAGCTTAAATATATAAAAGGCATGGGGGGGGGAGTATGAGCCTCCTTCTTCTCTTTGGTACTGTCTTCCACTCTCCACTTACCTCTTTCTTTTTCCCTCCTTTCATTCTTTCTCAGCTTTCCTTTTCTTATTTTCTTACCCTTCCTCACTCCTCCCTTTTCACCCTCCTCTCCTTTCTTTTTCATCCTGCCTTCCCTTTCCCATGTGCTCCCCCCCTCTTGTTGCCCTCCTATTCCCAACAACAGCTCTAATGTAATGGAAAGACCTCTGTTCTGGAGACCAGAGAACCTGGGAACCAGCCAGAGTTCTACTGAGTGACCTGACAGCATTTGCCCTCTCTGGG